ACAGCAGAATACATCAGACACTAGAATGGCAATATGTAAATCAATGGAAGGGTAACTGATGTGATACAGCAATCTGTATATGGGGTATAATTGGGAGTTCATAACCCACTTGAATCAAACTGTGAAATATGATATATTAAGAACTATGTAATGTTTTGAACGACCAACAATAAAAAAAATAAATTCTGTTGGTGGTTACTTTGTTTTTCAAAAGCAGTATTTAACTTTCATTCATCTAAAGAAGAGTCTCAAGTGTAAAAGAGAAAATACATGACCAATTCAATGATTGAAGTGCAAATATTTGATGTCCACTAGCACTCTACACTAGTTTGTTTCTGAAGTAATTGAACAAACTGGGACAGTCAAACTCCATCTCATATCTGGAAACTCAAAGGGAATTCTGGCCACACACTGGGAGCTCATAGTTCCTCTAGGGATTTTCAGTAGGTGCAGAGTCTCAATGTTATCCATGGCAGCAAAAAGGAGGCTCTCTTGCCTTCCTGCCACTCTAGAGCAGAGCCAATGCACTGTCAGTAGCAGCCTCAAAAGGCACTTGAGTTGGTTTCTGCTCCTTCAACTGACTGATAAAGCAGGCCAAGGAAGGCAATTTTCTAGCTATAAATGTTATCAGTGAGACCAAACAATGCTCAGAGAGACACTGCCATCTTTTTTTTTAATCTTTTTTAGTTTTAGATGGACACAATACCTTTATTTATTTATTTTTATATGGTGCTAAGGATGGAACCCAGTGCCTCACACATGGTAGGCTACCATTGAGCTACAACCCCAATCCCCAGCAGTCTTTTTAAATACATAGTTGTAAGAATCAATAGAAGAAGAAAATTTAAGAGTAATAAGATTGTTATTTTTTTTAAAAGAACAGAAGCCAGGCATGATTACACACCTGTAATCCCAGGAAATTGGGAGACTAAGGCAGGAGGATCCCAAGTTCAAGCCTAGCCTGAGCAATTTAGCAAAATCCTGTCTCGTAAAAAGGACTCATTCAATCCCAAGTACCAAAAATAAAAAGCAGAAAGCAAGATGAGAATAGAGAGTAGAGCAAACAACAGGAGGCAGGCAAACAGAAAAGTGTAAGGAGCAAGAAAAATTGGTTATTTCAGCAGCAACTCAGCAAGACCAACCCTATCTAAAGTAGTGTCTTCCTTGGAGAATGCTTCTCATCCACTCTGCCATGAAATGAGAGAAAGTTGTGGATGGATGATCATCCCTTCAAACAAGCATCCTCTGAACACCTTCCTCATGGGAGGCAATATGCTACCCAACCCGGAAATACGAGGCTGGACCTTCCAAGGCTAAAATCAAGGATTCCTGCAATAAAAATGAATGGCATCCTCTAAATTGCAAGTAGGTTAAAAATGAATGTAGTTCTATGTTTCACCTGGGAGGTCACTCTGACACCTAAGCAACTTCTTAACTGCTTGGGCCTTATTCCTGCTCTGACCAGTTTCACTAGCAGCTCCCCAGATCCCTGTCCCAGGAGAGCCACCCATCTGATGCAGATGAGGTTACCTTCAGTTTTCTCTCTTTCTCCAGTAGGATAGTATTAATGATGATGAGCTCAATGCATATAAAGCTGAGCATGAGGAACAGTGGAAACTCGTTCTGAAGGACCAGGAAGAACCGGTCCTGAATATGGGGCCCATGTGGGAACCTCTGCAAGAGCACATTGAGTCTCTCAAACATGTCAGCTGAGGCATTGCGAGCATGGTGATGCATAATGGCTTTGTCCACAGCATGCTGTATGCCCAGGAAGCCTTCTTTGTAGTATCCTACAAGAAAATGAGATATCAAGCATAATAAATTAAGAAAGATTGAAGATGTGAAACAACTGATGATTCAGACAGATCACGGCTAGCCATTTAGAGACAGACATTGGCAAGACAACATCCCTATAGCTTGCATACTACCATACAGAGTAAAGAGGGGAGTTACCATGGAGCCCCCTTAGGTTGAGATGATGGCCTGTCTGATCAGAAATGGAATACAGGAATCCGGAGCCAACAAAATAAGGAATGTCCCACATGAGAATCTTCCAAGGGCAAGCATATCTTCTCCCTTATACTCAAACTCTGGGGAATGGAGTTCTTGTTCTGCAGTTTTGATCATCCAGCATGTACAGGATGATTAAACTCAAAGTACTTAGAAGACATAGCCCCCTGACCTATTGTGACCTGTTTCTTAGTTGTCACTTCTGCATAATCCAAGGATTATGTCTCTGAATTTTGCTGCTAAGCCTCAAAAACTGTCATTACCACAAGCAATGCACATTTCAATCCAGTGTAGTGTACCAAGGTCATCTTTTAGGAAAAACAGGTTAAAAGGTGAAGATTCTCCAAGAGGTAATGACCCTACCTCCAAGCCTGGGCAGCCAGCCTTCCATATGGGCACAGCAAGGTGGGGTATATTATCTGTGTAGTAAGTGACTACTGTCCTTCTATTTTCTAGATCTAGGCAGACCTAGATCTGTCAGGATGAAAAAGGGAGAGGCAAATCATCAGTAATAAATTCTGGAAATAGCTTTGCATACTTGGTTATATGTAGGAATATTTTCACTGCATAACTGCTGAATCTTTTCTAGAATCACATGAAAATATAAGTACCTGGATGTGGGTTCTCACATGGTGAGCATGCAAGCCCAAGACTTCAAGCCAACTGTGTGGTCATTGTAAAATGAGGTGTAGATTACCAACTATTAAAAAAAAAACAGTTATTTGCCTAAAAGGCGTTCACTCTAAATCTCTCATAAAGAGGGAAACCATAAAAATCTAAAGAGACCATGATTCTTTCACAAGAGAACCGGATCCTGGGCTTTCTCATAGGAATCTAATGCTTACTGTGAAGGACAGAGGTTGAATAGAACTCCAGTGATGTTCTGCTACTTCTCCAGAAGGCTGGCATGGCAGAAAGGAAAGCAGAAGCCTGATATGGCAGAAAGGAGAGCTGGGGCTGTAATAGTTCAGGTTGGTTCAAGCAAACTAGGTATCAAATAGGAGTGTCTACTTTGTCAGATACAGTTAGATCTTTTCCACAGCAGAGAGTGTCGCATTCCTGGCAACAGAAACACTCAGACCTTTTGCCTACCTAGGGACGCCACTTGCCGGGCTCGTGACTAAAACACTCAGGGGTCACTCCAGGGGAACTGGGCTAATTGGGCTGCACGAAATAACCACGCAAGAGACAGAAATACATTTTTCTTTGGGGGTGCTGTGGCGGCTCCTCTGACCTTAAGGGTCCGCAGAAAGAGAGAGAGGAAGCCCACACGTGCTGACCCCTTTTATTGAGGAGAAGCTATTTAAATGAGGCAAGGGGCTGAGGATTAGTTTCATGGTATCTGGGGCTGAGTTTAGCTTCATGATGTCTGATGTCAGCAGGCTGACTGACATCTAGGTAGGCCACACCCAAGGACACAGTAAGAGAAGGAGACACACAAAGGGTGTTTCCATGGAACATTCTATCTCAAACAGGGCAAGGAGTAATATTACAAAGGAATAGGTGAGCATAGCCCCACCCATAGGGATGTAGGAAGGCACGCCCATGCACAAAGACACAGTCCCTCTACCCTAAAAATTGGGGCTAGTGTCCGGGTTACCTAGGCAACCAGATCACAGAGTGACCCACGATGCTGCACCAATCAGAAGGGAGACAGACACAGTCACGTGCTAGTTTGGCCTCCCACAAGAGAGCAAGTTGATGAGAAGCAGCCACTCAGAAAGGCTCTCCTTTATCCTCACTAGAAGGTTGCCAGGACAAAAAGTCAGCATGAATTCCCATAGAAAGAGAACTAAAGCACCAAGGGATCATGGCCCAGATTTAGAACCACACATCATCCCTTGCGACAAATTAGGAGCTCTTGGAAGCACACCCTTTGGTCTTAATGTTCTGTCAACTTCTCCTGAGCAAGACTGGTAGGGGAAAGAAAACTTTCTGAGGCCAAGGATAGGAGCACAGTCAGCCAAGATCATGTGGCCTAGAAGAGGAAACTGGGATTCTTATGCCAGTAGTCGGGTGGGGCAGGAGGGCAGAATAAGAATCAAGAAGATCTAAAATATCAGAGCGAGTAAAATCAAAGTGAAGCATTAATCAATGCAGAAGCCAGGCAGAGTTCAGAGATTCTGGGGACAGAGCTGGGAAGTATCCTCCAAAGCAAGAAAAGAATCTTTAGAGCTGCCCAGGCAGTCATGGAGCCTTTCAACAGTGAAGAAAGTTGTGTTCTGTTCCTCCTTTATTAAATTGAACAGAAAAGATGAAACTCAAAGGGCGTAGTTAGCGGAAAGAGGCATGCTAGGTATGGATAAATGGAACATATATGTTAAACAGGATATGTGTTCAAAAGAACAGAACAGCCTGGGGGTGTAGCTCAGTGGTACACTTGGCTAGCATTTATAAGGCCCAGGGTTTGATCACCAACACCACAAAAGAAGAAGGAGGAGGAGGAGGAGGAGAAAGGAAGGAAGGAAGGAGAAAAGAGAGATAACGAATAAACAGGAGTGGAACTTACAAGTGGAAATGGCCAGATAAATCTGACACATTTGTAAAGCACAGATCACTTTTTCCCCATGATGATGGATATGTCATCCCTACATTGGCCTCCCACTGGTAACACCAGTTATGGTTGCACTCTGTCCCTGATGTCCTCTGCCCAAGAAACTCAGACAAAGCCCACAGGTGCTCAGCAGGCTACTCAGAAGCTATAGAGACCAGGTGGTTCTGCCCCAGTACCTCAGGTAAGTGCTGGTGTCTGCTGTGACACAGAGGATATGCAAATGTTGGTTCTCTAGCCTTGGGGATCAATTTCCTGGCAGTAACCTCTAGAGGTATTATTGCATCAAGATAAATTCCCACACAACACTCTGGGAGCTTTAACATCTTTAAAAAGTCCACTAAAATGGTGGTCTGCAGAGAGCAATAGTAAAAAAAATTTTTTTAAAAAGAAAAGTTAATATATACAGAAACCTAGGAAAGGGACTCACACTCATTGTTCATGTAAAATGCTTCCATCCTTCTTTCAAACAATATAATTGCATGCATAACATACATGTAAGCATGTTATATGTTTTAACTTATATGTAAGCATATTACTGAATGCCACATTTTCAAATGCAAACTCCTTGAACTACTTCTGAAGTGCTAAGCTTATTAGTAAGTGTTCAGGCAGCAAAACAATAACAAAATAGCATCACAAACATGAGCCATATTTAAAGTGATACAAATAGGAAAAGAAGAGCTCAAACTATCACTATTTGCTGATGACATTATTCTATATTTTGAAGATCAAAAAAATTCCACCAGAAAACTTCTAGAACTAATAAATGAATTCAGCAAAGTAGCAGGATATAAAATCAATAACCATAAATCAAATACATTTCTATACATAAGCAATGAATCCACTGCAAGAAAAATTAGGAAAACCACCCCATTCATAAAAGCCTAAAAAAAAAATACTTGGGAATCAATCTAACAAAAGAGGTGAAAGACTTCTATAATGAAAACTACAAAACGCTAAACAAAGAAATTGAAGAAGACCTTAGAAGATGGAAAGATATCCCATGCTCCTGGATAGGCAGAACTAATGTAGTCAAAATGGCCATACTACCAAAACTATTATACAGATTTTAATGCAATTTCCATTAGAATCCAAATGACATTCTTCATAGAACTAGAAAAATCAATCATGAAATCAATTTGGGGGGCTAGGGATGAGGCTCAGTGGTAGAGGGCTTGCCTAGCACATGCGAGGCGCTGGGTTTGACCCTCAGCACCACATAAAATAAATAAATAAAATAAATAAAGATATTGTGCCCAACTTCAACTAAAAATATATTTTTAAAAAATTCATTTGGAAAAATAAGAGACTCAGAATAGCCAAAGCAATCCTCAGCAAGAAGATTAAAGCAAGAGGCATCACAATACCAGACCTTAAACTATACTACAGAGCTATAGCAACAAAAACAGCATGGTTTTGGTATCAAAATAGACATGTAGAGTAATGGCGCAAAATAGAAGACACAGAGACGAACCCACAAAAATACAGTTATCTCATACTAGACAAAGGCACCAAAAACATACATCAGAGAAAAGATAACTGTTCAACAAATGGTGCCGGAAAAACTGGAAATCCATATGTAACAAAATGAAATTAAACCTCTATCTCTCACCCTGCACAAAAATCAACTCAAAGTGGATCAAAGACACTAGACACTTAGACACTAGAGCAGAGACACTTAGACACTAGAGCAGAGACCCTGCATCTGCCTAATAGAAAAATAGTAGGCTGGGGCTGGGGATGTGGCTCAAGCAGTAGCGTACTTGCCTGATATGCACAGGGCGCTGAGTTCGATCCTCAGCACCACATAAAAATAAAATAAAGATGTTGTGTCCACCGAAAACTAAAAAATAAATATTAAAAAATTCTCTCTCTCTCTCTCTCTCTCTCTCTCTCTCTCTCTCTCTCTCTCTCTCTCTCTCTCCAAAAAAAAAAAAGAAAGAAAGAAAAATAGTAGGCCCAAATCTTCATTAAGTCACCTTAGGACCTGACTTTCTTAACAAGTCTCTGAAGCACAAGAAGTAAAATAAAAAATAAATAAATTGGATGGATTCAAACTAAAAAGTTTCTTCTCAGCAAGGGAAGCAATCAATAACATGATGAGAGAGTCTAAAGAATGGGAAAAAAAATCTTTACCACACACCCCTCAGATAGAGCACTAAGCTCCAGGATATATAAAGAACTCAAAAAACTTAATACCAAAAAACCAAATAACCCAATCAATAAATGGGCTAAGGAACTGACCAGACATTTCACAGAAGAAGAAATACAACCAATCAATAAATATATAAAAAATGTCCATGATCTCTTGCAATTAGAGAAATGCAAACCAAAACTACTCTAAGAGTTCCTCTCACCCCAGTCAGAATGGCAATTATCAAAAATACAAGCAATAATAAGTGTTGGCAAGGATGTGGGGAAAAGGTACACTCATACATTGCTGGTGGGACTGCAAATTAATGCAACCACAATGGAAAGCAGTATGGAGATACCTCAGAAAACTTGGAATGGAACCACATTTGACCCAGCTATCCCTCTCCTCAGTCTATACCTAAAGGACTTAAAATTAGCATACTACAGTGACACAGCCACATTAATGTTTATAGCAGCTCAATTCACAATAGCTAAACTATGGTACTAACCTAGATGCCCTTCAATAGATGAATGTATAAAGAAAATGTGGTACATATATACAATGGAATATTACTCAGCCTTAAAGAAGAATAAAATTATGGCATTTGGAAGTAAATGGATGGAACTAGAGAACATCAGGCTAAGTGAAATAAGCCAATCCCAAAAAAACAAAAGTTGAATGTTTTCTCTGATCAGCAAATGCTGATCCATAGTGGGGTAGGGGGAGAGGGAAGAATGAAGGAACTTTGGTTTGTGTAGAGGGGAATGAGAGGAGGGGTGGGGCTGCAGGGATGGGAAGGACAGTAGAAGGAGACAGACATTATTACCCCATGTACATGTGTGATTACACTACTGGAGTGACTCTGCACTATGTACAGCTGGAGGAAGGAGAAGCTATGCTCCATTTGTGTACAATATGTCAAAATGCATTCTATTGTCATGTATAACAAATTTTAAAAAAGAAAATAACCAAATATGAGCCATAGGACAAGAGTGTGTATGCTCATGGCAGTTCACACAGCTTCTGGATTTCCTCACCAGGGATTCCGCCATCAGTAAATGCAAATTCCCTGGGTTCATAGCTTAGGTTAGGAGGATAAAGAAAGGATGTGCACCAGCCTTCGGAGTCCTTTTGAAGAAACGTATGCTTCATTGATGCAAAGTTCCTCCGAATATAACTGAAGCGCAAGTTATACTTCACCTACAGAGTATAAAGAGAAAACAAATTTGGTCACAAGATGGTGAAATTCAGCAGTGTCAAAACAAAGCACTGTGTTTGACATCAGCTGTGACTGGAGGAAAGGCCCACACTAGTTGATGTCAATCCTGGAACTGACCACATAGCATTCTCTCATGCAGGTCTTCCCTGCAAATTATCCCTGGAACCAAACTGGGGAAAAAATAATAGGGTACTGAATACTCTGAACCCAGGCCACTGGACCTAAACTCAAAATCTCCTATAAAAGAACTATACTACCCTGGACAAGTTTCTTTATGCTTCAGTTTCCCCATCAATAAAATGGGGATGCTATTATCAGCTCCTATTTTGAAGACTGCTGTAGGCTTACATGAAATGGTGTCTGCAATGTGCCTGGCATTGATAAGTGAAGTGCCTACAAAGTATTCCCGGTTATTTTATTAACCCCACACAAGTTCTAACAATTAATCATCAGATCATAGAGCACAAAAACTGTACATGAGTAATTTTCCCATTCTTAAACATTAAATATTCAAATGTTTGTTTTTTTCCCTTAAACAAACATAGAAACCTATCATACCTGAAGTGAGATTAGTAATAATGGCAAAATAACTAATCCTCTCTGGAAAACTCCTATTACAGGCTCTGTTCTAAGTGCTTTACAGACATAAATCTATTTCCTTCTCACAACAACCCTGTATGTTAGGCACTAGTAATAACCTCACTACACCAGTAAGGACACTGGGGCCCTAAAATGTTAGACATTGCAGACACCATTTCATAACTTTCCTGAGGTTGCACCACTAATAAGGTGCAGAGCTAGGACTGGGCTTTATGTACCCTGGTTTGGAGCCTACTTCTATAATTAAGCAGTTAAATACATGTCATACAGCATTGTCAGGACAGAAGTTTGCTCAGAATAAATTCTCTTTTAAAGAATCTAAAAGCTAAAGGGACTTCAAAGACCAGTGGTAAGACATGAAACACAAAAGCATTCTCTCATCAACTCTGGAAATAAGATGGCAAAGCTATCACAGAGGAAAGCAGAGGAGCAAATAAGCTACCTAGGCTCAAGGTAAAGTTGTAAAAGAAGTTTGTTTCAGAAAATATTTTCTTTTTTTTAAAAAATTTTTATTGTTGGTTGTTCAAAACATTACCTAGTTCTTGACATATCATATTTCACACTTTGATTCAAGTGGGTTATGAATTCCCATTTTTACCCCATATACAGATTGCAGAATCACATCGATTACACATCCACTGATTTACATATTGCCATACTAGTGTCTGTTGTATTCTGCTGCCTTTCCTATCCTCTACTATCCCCCCCTCCCCTCCCCTCCCATCTTCTCTCTCTACCCCATCTACTGTAATTCATTTCTCCCCCTTGTTTTTTTTCCCTTTCCCCTCACTTCCTCTTGTATGTAATTTTGTATAACCATAGAAAAGATTTTCTTACCCCAAGTGGCAAAGGTTCCCTGCTGTCATTGAAGTTATGGTCAAAAACAATTCCTACCAATATGTAGAAAGCTTTGGGATCATTAATTATGTAACTTTCAAACACAGGCACGGAAGAAAAGCCTAGAACTATAGAGAGAAAAGTCCAATTAGTGAGCAGCTGGGTGTGCAGGCAAATGCTATCTACTTCCCCCTCTCTACCTAAGGAGATATAAAATATCAGTTTACTTCTCCATTCACTCATTCATTTTGCAAATATAGGAGCAAAGAAATTAAAAGACAGAAGGTGGGAAGACAAGAGACATCAGACAAGAATCTGATTAATCACCTGAGAAATGTTTGCACTGAAAAAGGTATGTTTGCAATTTGTGCTGATCATGATTTTGTAGTTCAAGAAGACTTCATGAAAGCAGTCAGAAAAGTGACTGATTCTAAGAAGCTAGAATCTAAATTGGACTACAAACCTGTGTAATTTTATTGTAAGGTTTTGGATGGCTACATGACAGACATTGACTTAATGTAAAAATAAAGTTAAGGAAAATAATGTATATATTGGCAATGATCTCATTAAATGTGAATGAATAAAATATGTATGAGTAACAAAAATTAGTATGTAACTCAGTAATTCAACTTTTAAAATTGACACAGAAGAAATTTGTGTTTGTTAATGTTGCATTTATTCCAGCAAAAGTTACAAGAGTGTTGAAGCTTTTCGCATTTGCCATGTGAGCATTTTGTAAAACACTGAAAAATAGTTTGAGATAGTAGTACAAGAGAGCATTTCTTAAGACTTATTTTATATCATTTGTTTTCATCATTCTAACAAAATTTAATAAAATCTGTTTGATTTAGTTCTAAAAAAAAAAAAGAATCTGATTAATCAGGTCAGAATATGAACTGGAAGTCTGCAATCCCAAGAACTGCTAGCAACTGTCCTGGGACTTCATGCTAAGGAAGGGAGGGAGAATTAAGTCCTGTGAGTAACTTGAGACCTGGGTAAAGCCTGATGGGTTTGTTGTTGTTGTTGTTGTTAAAAGAATGATTTTTATTTTTGTAGGAAGTTTAAGTTCTATTTCATCCTTTCATATCTTGTTTATAACCCAAGTTTTACATGTTGGTTATTTTATTTTTCTTTTCTGGAAATGTTTGCCCCCTCCCCAGTTCAATTGGCTAGGTGACTATAGTGACATACTACCTACAAATATGTTCTTTTATTTTTTGAACTAAGTAGTGATTTTGTAATTTGAGACTAATAATTCCATTATCTGAATCTTCTAGTTCTGTTTTTTAATCTTTTATTTATTTATTCATTCATTCATTCATTTATGTGGTGCTGAGGATTCAACCCAATGCCTCACCAATGCAAGGCAAGCACTCTACCGATGAGCCACAACCCCACCCCCTCTATTTCTGTTTTTGCTCTCTGTTGTTAATACTGTTTGTCACCCTTGGTATCATTTCCTGGCATATTTGCTCACTGACATTAAAATATTTGTATGTGTGTGGGGGAGTGTCTTCTATAAGATACAGAATGATGGTATATCTTCCAAAGAAGACTTGCACTGCGTCTCTCAGTCTTGAATCCCACTTCATAGTGTGAGGGGTTTTCATTTTTCTTTTTTTCACTTTCATTCCTTTTCCCCCCCTATTCTTTTCTCCCCACAACTGCCTTGTGTTTCTCCTTGAATTTGAGCTACAAGTCTCAGGGTTGAGTTCTCCTTGTTGTGCTCAATTCCAAGGCAACATTCCTGCAGATCCTCAGGAGTAGGAGTGATATATATTTACTTCTACTTTACATTAAGGATGTAGGCAATTTGGGTTCCAGCTTTATGGGAAGATAGTCTCCTATTTGACACTCCACCTTGAATGAGCCTTAACTTCCTATTTCGCTCTGTGCCTTACAAGGCTATGAAAACTAGTTCAATTTCCTCTAGTACGATGCATGTTTCATCAAAAGCAATTTAGGGCCTCTTTGGGTTCTTTCTTTCATCTAGCTATTTTTATGTAGGAAATTATCTAACAAGCTGAAAATACATCTACAATATGGTGATAAAAGTCAGACAACAAAACTGTTCATACAATAGGATCCAATTTTTAGGTATTTACATGGTTAGAAAAAGTTGGGGCTGAGTGGTAGCACCCTTGCCTGGTATGTGTGAGGCACTGGGTTCAATTCTTAGCACCATGTATAAATAAAAAAATAAAGATCTATCAACAACTAAAAAATATTTTTAAAAAAAGTGTAAGAAGGGTGTCCACCAAGATATAAGGAGTAAATTTATTTATTTCAAATATGGACAGATAGGCACAGTTTCTGTTTTGTTTCTTTAGCCTTATTTAGGCTATATTTATTTATTATTTATTACAATTCCCCCACCTCAGCCTCCCAGTAGCTGGGACTACAGGTATGTGCCACCACACCTGGCTTAGGTTTCTTTTTAAACACACACACATATACACAGTTAAATTGTAAAAATTATCAGATACATATGAAGGTATCCAAAACAAAATGCTCAGTTTAATAAATAATTATAAAATTAATACCTAAGTAATCACTCCTTGGATTAAAAGATAAAATACTTATATAATAGATTTTTTTGCTAGATAATTCCTGACTATTTAGTTCTTTAATGCTTCCAAGAACATATTTTTAGTTTTCATTCAGCATTTACTTTTCACTGGAGGGATGATCCAAATGAGCTAGTCCACTATATTACCAGAGAGACTGGTAATAGCCTCTTTTTCAGAAATTTCCAGGAAAAAAATCTCACATTTCCTTGATTCTCACTAAGCATGCCTCCATGACAGATCAACCATGTAAGGGACTGCAAAGTACAGATTGGTTTAGGCATTGGTTACATGATCTATCCCAAGCCCAGAGTACAGTCAACAGCAATGAAAATACATGAGCTGAGAGCGGGAGGGGGTCAGACTCTCAGAGAAACAGGCTACAGGAAGAAAACCAAAACTGATGTCCACTACACACTGGAAAAGATCATCAAATTGTTATTTGTCATTACTCTAGGGTGAAGAATTTTATTAGGATATGGAATAAAAAGGAAAAGTTATTTTTATCTTTTGTCTTTTATATTGTATAAAATTTCCAGTACAAAGAGTTCCTGTATTTACTGTAAGTTTCAATGTATTGAAGATTTTTTTAAATCCCAGAAAAGAACATTCCAATTCATAAAAGAATTCTGGGAAGCAGGACTTGGGATTAGGCACCTAAGTTTAATTAATAGCATACAGTTTCATGTATCACATTTGTGCTAAAGAGAGCAGTGAGAAAGGAAGGCAGTGTTTGGGGAACAAGAAGTGAGTAAAACAGAGGGAAGCAAAGATATCAGGAAAGCAGAAACAAAAGACAGCACTATCCCAGGATGCAAAGGAGAAAAGGATTTCAAGGAAGAAGTATCTGGACACTGCCCTGTTGCATAGCAAAGACACAGAGAATGAAAACTGGAAAAGAAGTCCTGGATTTGGCAACTAGCAAGACCATGATCACATTTGCTTAGCAGATATCACTCTGGTACTGAGGGCAAAACAGAGATTATGTTACTAAGTGGGTGGGAAGAAATAAAATAGAAATAATTTCCAAGATATTTATCAGACAAAAAATAAATTGCCTGAAGAAGGATCTTAAAGGGGAGAGAATACAGGAAATGTTTCCTTCTGAAGTGGAGGTGACTGAGGCCTGTTTGGGAGTGAGGGGGAAATCCATACAGATGGAAACACTTCTCTGAAGGGGTAAGGTACTGACTGAAGAAGGTCCAAAAAAGGCAAGAAAGCTTCTGACTGATCCCTTCTAATTCCAAAATGTATCTTGAATTCAACTACGTATCTCCATCTCCCTAGTTCAAGCTGTCAGATCTTTTAAATCAAATTATATCATAGAACTTTCAAACTTAAAAAAATTTAAATTTAAACATTTTAAAACAAACTATATGTTTTCTTAAAACTCCACAGATGGCTGCCTTTTGCACATACAACATGGTCTGCAAGACTCAGAATTATGTGGCTCCTACCAACTTCTTAACCCTCAGTCCAAGCCACTCTCTCAATGTGCTCCAGCTGGCTTGCTGACTTTGGAATCTCCAATACTTAACTACTTACTTCCTCAGGACCTTGCTATTTGCTATAGAAATCCGTGAAGGGGAATGAGGCAGAGGCGAGAAACTGAAAATCTGCTTAGCTACCTTCGTAAGCATCATTTCAGCTAAAACCTGAAGCTGAGAGAATAGCTCCCCAGAAGGGGAGCACAGTTTTTTTGTTTTTTTGCCAGAGGAAAGAGCTGGTGAAAAGCCACCTGTATGTGCAGGATATGACAGCACAGGGAGAGTGGGCTTGGAGGAGGCTGGAGAGGAAGGCAGAGGCAGCCTGGAGAATCTGGTTCACTCTTGGTGCAATTGGAAGGACATGAGCTGAATCTTTTTTTTCCAGATGGAGTCTCACCATGTTGACCAGGCTACTCTCAAACTCTTGGACTCCAGCAATCCTCCTGACTCAGCCTCCCAAATAGCCAGGACTACAGGAGTACAATCTTATGACCTTTTGAGGACCTTTCTTCCTCCCTGGGAGACTGAAGTAGAATGGAACAAGAGAAGCACAGAACCTGTCAGAGTCTCTGAATGGTTTCCATTCTTTATTAGTCAGAGACATGTAATAACTGGCAATCAGATCTTCTGATTAACATGAAATAATAGGGTCATGATAGTTAAAAATACTTATTAACATTTAACATTTTGATTACCCTTGAAGCCTCATGATATAAATGTATGTCTCCAGCGTGTTTTTTGAAATAATAAAAATGTATCATGGACAGTTTTCCTCCAACTACCACCTGCGTGGGCTCTTTAGAATTTGAAAACCTCAGATTTGGAATTACTTCTATAAGCAGAACTCTCATAAAGTATCCTTTCATACTATGTGAAAATACCTTCCCTATCCTTTTCCCACCTTATGTCTAACCTTCAAACTCAACATCGAAAGTATCTTCCACCATTTCAGTGAGAGCCTTCAAAGTCTCACTCTTGGAAGAGATATAAACTAGTTGAAATTTATTTTTCACAGGAAACTGATGGAAGAAGTCTGGCAGCGAACTGACATCAATTGCACTGTAATTAGTAGCAGCTCTTTTTCTTGGGACACTATTAAAACGAAGATACAATACAACTGCAGAAAATAGTAATGGCATCAAGATTTCAAGCACTGTCATCAGAATCCTCCGCTTCTAAAATAAAAACAAAAGTTACAGGTTAACTCAAAATCACTCTAAGTCTCTATTGAGGAGAATGTTCATCCGTTTCGTCTCCTTTCAAACCTATAATTCCAGTGGCTCTGAAGGCTGAAGCAGAAGAATCAAGAGTTCAAAGCCAAACTCAGAAATTAGTAAGGCCCTAAGCAATTCAGCAAAACCCTGTCTCTAAGTAAAATATAAAAAAGGGCTGGGGATGTGGTCCCTGGGTTCAATCGCTGGTACCAAAAAAAAAAAAAAAATCCTTTCTTCTAGTCTCCCCATATAACAAATGGGGTGGGGAGAATAATAGTTTAATAGAAACATCTCTATTAACTTTTCTTTTTTTAAATATCTTTTTTAGTTGTAGTTGTACACAATACCTTTATTTTATTTATTTTTATGTGGTGCTGAGGATCGAACTCAGTGCCTCGCACATGCTAGGCAAGTGCTCTATCACTGAGCCCCAGCCCCTCTATTAACTTTTCTACAACACCACTGGTTGGAAATCAGACAATGATATTATTTTTCATAATGAGGGTTAACAGAATTACTATGGAAACATGACTTATTTGCAGAATAGTGCCCCTTTACAAGCAAAGTTCTTTCTTTAACCCATTATTAGCAACCAATTTCACATAAACACTCAGTCACTCCCAAGAACCTACATCCCACCATGAATAACTATACCTACCTTTAAGATGAAATTCTTCCAGAGAAGAAGTTTTAACTTCTTGAACACTGCCATTTTTCTAGCTGAAGGGGAAGGCTCAGCACTAGTCAGGAAACAAATGGGTGAAATGTTATGTGTAATGCAGGAATGCTAAGAGGTACTCTTATATCCTTGGACAACCTTCTTGTGGGCTTTCAGAGCATCATGCTGGCTGCTTTTTCTCCTACCTTTCCAGTTGTTCCTTGTCAGTCTTTTAAACTGACTCTTTCTTCTCTCCCCAGCCCTTATGAGGCTCAGACTGTGGACTCTTTTCCAGTAACACTCCTTAGGTGACCTAACTCAGCCCTGGATTAGGATCCAACTTCATGCTGAAGACTTCTATATTTGTACAACTGGCCTGCACCTTCCCTTAAGCTCCATTTCCAATTATCCAGTTGCCTGCTTGACATACCCACGAGTTTCATCTCAAAACTGACCTGGCCAAACCAGGCTATTCATATTCTTTCAAAAATAGGTCATCCCACAGTCTTCCTCACCTCAATTCATTCAGTTCTATTCTTTGAGTCATACAGGGTTATTCTTGGCTTTCCTCTCTCTTTCGCAGCCCAAGTTTAGACCTCAGCAAATCCTATTGCCTCTACCTTTAAACACTCCCAGAATTCAACCCCCTTCACCACTTCTGCTCTTTATCATCCCTTGCCTCAATTTCTGCAGTAGCCTCTGCAGTGGCTTCATTGCCTCTGACCTTGTTACCTTAAAATCCTTTTCCGAGCAGCATCAAGAGCAACCCTGTACAGTCAGATCCTGTCTGTTCTTCGGCTCAATACTCTTCAATGGCCCTAATTTCTCTCCAAGGAAAAGCTCTGCCTTACAATGGCCTACAAAGTTCTGGGGGACGTAGCTCCTACTAGTGTTCTCATTTCATCTACTCTCTTCTACTTCCCTTCCCTTCCTCCTTCTCCAGCTCCTGTCAAGGCCCAGATGCTATCCCTAAACACACAAAACTGCTGCTATGTTTGGATTTCCCCTCTGCCAGGTACAAGTACACACTTTATTCCTGTGTTGGCATGGCCAGCTTTTCTATCTCTTTTGGATCTTTATTCAAAAGACACTTTCTCTTTGAAGACTTTCTTGACCATTCAAAATAAAATCTCAACATCTCTAAATATTTTATGCAACTTTTCATGTTTATTCTTCTTAGCACCATTAAGCTATGTAACATATTTATGTACTTATTTAATCTTATTTCCTTACTAGAATGCATGTTCCATGAGGCATGGATATTTTTTTGTCTGTTTGTTCTACCACAGAATCCTCAGGCATAAAAGCAGAGCTGGCACATAGTAGGTGCTCAGTAAATATTGAATTAAATGACTAATTGATTAATTAACTAAGAGATACATAGTCTTTGTAGGGTTATGGATGGATAGGAATGACTGTGAATAGATAAAAATACTTCTGGTTAGCAGAAGATTCTACCTCTTTTCAATCTTTTTGCTTATACTTTAATTTTTAGAAACCATTACTATAATAAAAATGAATTTTGCTTTACCAGAAAACATTTTTCCAGTGAGGAAAGAAAAAGATATACATCTTCCCTCAAGTGGAAGTACTCTTGCCTTTACACATTTGCAATTAAAGCAGTAGAGCTTATAAATACAGGAATAAACCTAGTTCTGGGCTGGATCACATCCTTTGTGTTACACTTTTAACAATACTGTTTTCTTAAACACAGAAAACTGTCTCTTTCTCATAACACAAGATAGAAGTAGCATCTTTAGGAATAAAAGCAGAGTGTACTCACAGACGATGGTGGAAACTGGCCCCTCCACTGAATTGTCTGAAACAACTGTCTGTGGTGTCCACTAGGGACTGGTTCCAGGACACCCTTCCCTCCACAGATACCAACTATGTGGAAGCTCAAATCCCTTACATAAAACAGCACTGTATTTGCATATAACCTATGTTTTTTCTCCCATACTTTAAATTTAAATTATCTCTCGGTTACTTATCATATATAAATACAATATAAATCCTATGTAAGTGGTTAGCATACTGCATCATTTAGGGAATCATGATAAGAAAAAAGACATGAAACATGTTCAGTATAGACACAACTACCACTGGTCTAACAACATAGTCCACAATCTACAGCTAATTGAATCCATGGGTGTAGAACCCAAGAATACTGAGGGCCAACTGTATGTGCCACTAAGAAAAAGGCCAAATCTTCAATAAGATAGAATGATTAATAATGACATCCTATCATTTATAGTAAAATTGATGAAACTAGAGAATATTATGTTAAGTGAAATAATCCAGACATAGAAAGACATAGAAATGCTGCATCTTCTCTCTGATGTATGGATGTTAAAAGAGTTGATCTGAATATAGAAGAGTGGTTACTAGAGGCTGGGGAGGGGGGGCATAAAGTGACATCAGATAACATTTAGCAAATGTGACATATTTATATAGGAGTAATAAGTTCTAGTGTTTGATAGGGCCATAGGGTGACTATAGCTAGTGCACAATAATCTATTATATAAATCTATTATATAAATAGCTAGAAGAGAGGAGCTTGAAGTCTCCAAACACAAAGTAGTGACAAGGAGATAGAAATGTTTATTACTCTGATTTGATCAATACATGCTGTATTTATGCACTTAAGTATCACACTGTACCTCATAAATGTGATTACTGTCTGTTCATAAAAAATCTAACTTGGTGTGGTGGTACATGCTTGTAATCCAAGCTACTCAAGAGGCTGATGCAGGAAGACTGCAAATTTGAGGCAACACAGGGAAATCCTATATCAAAATAAAATTCAATAAAATGGACCAGAAGTATGGTTCAGATATGTGAGAAACCCTGAGTTCAATCCTCAGTACCACACACAAAAAAGTTTACAGAAATGAAAAGTTAACTGACCTAATTTGATCATTACACATTTATATCAAGTTATCTCACTGTACCCCATAACCATGTACAATTAGTAATTACATTTTAAAAATAAGCATGACCATAAAAGAAGATAAATATATACACACCAAACAACAGATATCCCAAAACACATTAAGCAAATATTGATAGAATTGAAGGGAGAAATGGACAATTCTACAGTAACAGTTGCAGACCTTGAAAAATGCACTGCAAAAATTCTTTTCTCTTTTTAGTGCTAGGGATCAAACCCAGAACCTTGTGTGTGCTAGGTAAGCACCCTACCACAGAGCTTCACTCCTAGCCCTCTATACTGCAAATTTAATAATAGACAGAACTAGACAGAAAATACAATACAATGTCTCTAACAAAGGGACCACATACAAACTATAGCACACATTAAAAGGATCATGCATGGGTAGCTCAGTGGTTGAGCGCTTGCTTTGCATGCATGAGGCACTAGGTTCAATCCTCAGCACCACACTAAAAAAATAAACAAAATAAAGATATTGTGTCCATCTACAACTAAATATATAAATATATATATATACATATATATATATATTTTTTTTTAAAGGATCATGCATCATGACCAAATGGGATTTATCCCAGGAATGCAAAGATGTTTCAACATAAGAAAATCAATCAATGAGTATAACAAAATTATGCTATGTACATGTATAAATACACCACAATGAATTCTACTTTTATGTATATCTTTAAATCACCAAGTAAGAATAAACAAATAAATAAATAAATGGAAGGTATGCCAGTAGAGCAGAGGAAAAGAACCGGGAGTGTGGAGGGAGCACTGGGGATTGAAATGGAGTAAATTAAATTCCATGCATGTATAATTATGTCAAAAGGAACCCAAATTTTATTATGCACTAATAAAAGCAAAAAGGTACTTGACAAGTACATGATTTACAATGTGCAAACCAACATGAAGGCATTATTTGGAAAGAAAGAAAACTAATCAATGTAATATATCACATTAATAGAACAACAATAAAAATCCTACATGATCATCTCAAAAGATGCAGAAAAGGCAGATGACAAAATTTAACACATTTTAGTGATCAAAAATATCAGCAAGTTATAATAGAAGATAATTACCTAATATGATATAAGGCATTTATGATTAACCCACAGCTAACATCATAATGAATAGTAAAAGACTGAAAATTTTCCCCCTGAGGTCAAGAATAAGACAAAGATGCCTGCTTCTACCACTGGTATTCAACACTGTACTGGAAGGAAGTCCTAACTAGAGGAATTAGGCAAAATAAAATATTTGTTGACTTTTTCTTCTTTTAATGAATGAACTCCATGCAATGAATTTTCCTCTTAGTACTACTTTCATAGTCTCCCAGAGATTTCGATGTTGTGTCTATGTTCTCATTTACCTCTAAGAATTTTTTAATCTCCTTAATGTCTTCTGTAACCCACTGTTCATTCAGTAGCATATTGTTCAGTCTCCAGACGATGGAGAAATGTTTATTTTTTCGTTTATTTCCAATTTCATTCCATTATGATCTGATAAAATGCATAGTAGTATCTCTACCTTTTTGCATTTACTAAGAGTTGCTTTGTGGCATATCATGGTTCATTTTAGAGAAGGATCCATGTGCTGCTGAGAAGAAAGTGTATCCACTTGATGCAGATTGCAATATTCTATATATGTCAATTAAGTCTAAATTATTGATTGTATTATTGAAAACAAATGCCAAATGTTTTCTCTGATATAAGGAGGCTGACTCATAGTGGGGTAGGGAGGGGGAGCATGGGAGGAATAGATGAATTCTAGATAGGGCAGAGGGGTGGAAGGTAAAGTGAGGGGAGCAGGGGATTAGCAAAGATGGTGGAATGTGATAGGCATCATTATTCAAAGTACATGTATGAAGACACGAATTGGTGTCAACATACTTTATATATAACCAGAGATATGAAAAATTGGGTTGTATATGTGTAATAAGAATTGTAATGCATTCTGCTGTCATTTATTTAAAATAAATAAATAAATAATAAACACAATCTGAGTTGAAAAGGAAGAAATAAATCTATGTTTATTTACAGATCAAATGACTATGTACATAGATAGTCCAAAAATACACATGCACACACAACACAGGCATGCACATATACATATAAACTACTTGAGCTAAT